ATGAAGCTTTATTTTTATTCTTTTTTTTTTTTTTAATGCAAGTCTGCATATTCACAGCTATGTTGTTCACCATTACAATCTCGGATAGCAAAACCATGTTAGAAGTGACTTGGAAAGCACAATTGTTTATCTTTGCTTCATTCAATATTGGTTCCAGGAATGAAGCAGGTGTTTGCTTTTGATGCAATCCGTTAAGCACAAATTCTCAGTTCTTTTCTTGCAAGGCTAAAGCCATTTAGGGAGAAAGGGCCTCTAGGAAGCTACAGACTGACTTTTCTTAAACCACTAATGGTATTTGGAGTATAAAACCCAGAAGCATCAGGTACTCTAGAGCTATTGTATTTAAGTACATTAAATAATAAAGTTGAAATTGTGGCTTCCTATACACAAGTGACATTTCGAAAAGCCAGCCTAAACCAAATGGCAAAAGAGAAAGAAAGAAGAAAGAACCAAATGACTTAAGTTCCAAGGCCAAAACTCAGCAGGTGCAGTAGGAAAATATGCAAATATGAGCAAATACTGCACTGTGCTAGTGATCATCCACTTAGATCCATGGCTCTTGTCACCTGTCCCTGAAAGTCAAAGCAGAGACCCATAGGCAGACTGCACTCCGAACTCAGCCTTTCACAGGTGGTGCTTGGAGAGTCTGCTTATTGCCACATTGACAGCAGGCATTTGGGGATCCCACCAGCACTGACACTAAGAAACCCAGGAGTGTGAAGCAATGAGAAATTTCCAGAGGAAAACTTATTTCATTTTCTGCATTGCAGCTCCAGAGTAGAGGGAGGGATGTGTGTGTGTGTGTGTGTGTGTGTGTGTGTGTGTGTGCGCGCGCGCGCGCGCACGCGCGTGTGTGTGTGTTAATGATAGAAAACATTCTTAAGATGATTGAAGGGAAGTGATCCCAAAGGAAGGACACCATGAGCTTTGGGCCTTGGGGCTGTCAGAAGCCAGGTGGCTGGTGGTGACTCATCTGTGCTTTGCTGGCTTGGGGGCTGATAGGAGTAAGGGCAGGGTGCTGAATGCTTGCTTCTTGAGGCTGTGCTCCTCAGCCCCAAGGCTGTAGCAATGGTCACCAGGTTGTGTTGCTGTTAGGAAAACTTCTACAAACACAGAGGAATACACCATTTTGCAAAGCTGCTGTACCACCTGGTTAAAGGCCAATGTTCCTTGTCAGTCGGGTGAGGGTGGTTTCTGGATGTGTCACATTAAGAAAGCCACCTTAGACTGCCAGCTTGACGGTTAGCAAGGAGCCAGCTCGGGAACTGACAGCTGAAAGCACCTGTCTCTCAATTTCTGAGAGAATCACCTGATGTTCCCAAGTTTGCATGTGAGTGTCCCACAGGCTTTCCTACCGCATTCCGATGTTTCCCTGTTCGAGTCTCGAGCACTCTTACATTCTCTAAGAACACCACAGGGCCTTCATTCAGAAGCACAAAGACTGGTCCAAGGAAGCAGTTGCAACCAAACCTGAAGGGCTTTGTAGTCTGAATACCATGGTGCCTCTGACTGTGCCAGAGGCTGCACCGTGGACCTTGGAGGCTTGTTGGCCAGTAGGACCTGTCTCTTAGTGTTGTCCCACAGCTGTGAGAAATAGCAGGACGTGGGATTGGTAAGGTGGATTGGGGATCCAGCAGGGCCAATATGCTGATGCTGTTTCTAGAAGCCTGAAGGATACCCTTTCTTTTCTCTACTGTAGCCTGGCCATAGCAAAGGCAGAGTGCAAGGCATAAAGTTCATGTTGAACATGAGATAAACAGTAAACGCTATTTTCAGTAGATCAGCCTTTACTATTGTGTTTCTCGTTTATCTGAAATTGACGGTTCACTGGGTGTTCTATATTTTCCTTGTGAAACCTGACTGTCCTGAAATTCCGATTGTGTTAGATGATTTCCTCTTGCTGTGATAAAAACACTGACCAAGGCAGCTCATAGAAGGAGGAGCTTACATGGGCATGTAGCTCCAGAGTCCAAAATGGCTGGGATAGATTGGCAGCCAGCGGTGGGCAAGCAGCCGGAGGCGGGAGCTGAGAGCTCACATTTCGAACCATAAGCAAGAAGAGTGAGAACTAGACATGATGCGAGTTTTTAAATTCTCAAAGTTTGCCTCTTGTGACATACTTCCTCCAACAAGACCACACCTACTAAACCTCCCTGGTGCCACCCAGTGGGTGTTCAAACCTCTGAGCCTATCTGGGACATTCTGGTTCAAACCACTACACTGGCTGGAGCAGAGCGTATTTACCTCTCTCCCTTGGCGGTTATAAACTCAACCAAGAGAAACAAAGATGTAACCAGGGTTCTGTCATCACAGCTAATGAGCCAGAATCAAAGCCCCTTTGTTGAGAACCCAGACTGATGCTTCCTCCTGGTGTAGACTGGCTGCACACTGGCTGTGCAAGAGGCTGGTCTCCTATGAACCACGCTTTCAGAGAATAGCATTAGTTGCTGTGTCAGCGTGATGGACTCCCATCTAGGATTGCAGTTCTGGGAAATCGGAAGACAGCTTTGCTTCTTTGAAGGGAGCAGTCACCTGTAGGATTGTTATGTGATTTTCTGTTTTCTTCTTTACAAATAACTTTCCAAGGCTCTGTCCTTTGCAGACTGCTCTGTAGCAAGGAAGGATGTTCAGAGTGACCTAGTGCAAAGAGTCCTGCATCCTTGTTCTGGGGTGTGTACACAGCCACACCCTTGTGCAGGCAGCCACGCCCTCTTAATGATGGCGAGAGTCTTTGATTTCTCTCATTGTGTGGACATCATGAGTGTGTTTACACCAGCTGAGCCAGCTGCGCTGTTTCTAGGTGATGCCTCTTATAGACCACCGTCATACATGCCACGTGGTGCCCCGAACACACCATCATGCCACATATGACTTCTATTTCTCTCTTTAAAGAGCTCAGGGCTTTGGGTAGACATTCAGGAAATCTGGCACCCTGGTGTTTTCTTCTTTTCCTTTCTTCAATAGACAGGGTTATGGTGGGGCTTGAGAAGAGAGGGAGGGAGTGGCCCAGTCCTTCCTCTGGGGATGGCTAGGGTGTTGTCCTTGAACACGGACAAATGCGGTGTATATGGAGCCTGAGGATTTTCCAGTGAAGCAGTCACAACCCACTCTGTCTCCTCTGGGTTTTGCACATTCCATGGCTGACCACCCGTGACCAGTACGGCTGAGGAGGGAGAGAGGGAGGAAGAAGGGGCAGGATCAAAGCATGCTACCAACAAGCAGGGGTACTTGCATACCTGGAGGGCCAGGTGAAGGAGGCAGTGATGTAGGCATTAGGGTTAGCCTAGGCTATCCTCTTAGAAATGTCCTCTCATTGCCTCTGGGGACCCTCTGGTAGGAGCTCCCAGGGACTGTATGTTCTGGTCCCTCCTAATGTCAATCAGTTTGTTTTTAGAAATTACTTTAATCATGTTGATCCAGTTGGTCAGTTACCTAAACCTTAATACTTTGCCTTTTGTGAACAAAGCCAGACAAGCACCCGAGAGAAACTTTCAGGGACTGGCTATAGTTCTGGGGTCTAGGTCTTTGAGGTTCTGTCACAGATCCTGGGGATTGTGCCCTTCTGGCCATGCAGAGTCTTGGACAAAGCTAGTGTACAAAGGAGTCATAATTCCATCCCTTGAATGCTGCTCAGAGAAACTGATGTGGGAAGTCTTATATTTGTATTGCTCATGGGAAACAGAGAAAACTTCACATCTCCCAAGTATGGTCTAAAGCCATAAGATTTTAAAAATAAAATACTGCACAGCCCAACAGCCAGTCATAGCCTGTGGGGACCACTCTGTGGTGCCTATAACCAGCACTGATGCTTGGGTTCCTGGAGAGAGCCATGACTCATGCCCACAGGGGCTTTCTCTGAGATCTTTTTCCCTTCCGAACATTGCATTTAGACGACTTGCCTAAATATAGACTCCATTCACACAGGCCTTGTGGTCTGGGCAGCTGTCACTGGCAGAGTGAGTCCTTGCCTATGTCAGCAGGACTGGTAGGTCCTGAGCCACACATCCCTTGTTTAGTCATCATACTGATGCCAACCGAGGAGGGTCTCTGGCTAAGCTCTGGCTATGTCCCGGTGTTAGTGGCATGGCCTCAGACTGTCCCACTGCAGGGGACCTTCCACCTCGTCCTTCTGCTGTCACTTTTGGATGTGTGGCATCACTTGCAGTAGAGTCATACATCATGGATGTGCTTCACAGGGGCATGGGTAGTGCAGGACTTCACAGGTTAGCACTCACACGCAAGGCTGCATGAGCACCGAGTCTCCTTTTCCTCAGGCTTGGCTTTCTGTTCTTTTAAGCAAAGCTTCTCAAAAGCAAACAATTCCTAAGTTTCAGATTGCATGCCATTCTGGGTAGCATGGTGAATTGTGAAGCCACTCCACCCTGACTCTGCTGAGGTGAGAATGATTCCTTTGCCTCATGTCTCCGCGATGTGTATGCCACCCCACCACCAACCTTCAGCAGCTGCCCTGGTATCTCAGTGCTCAGGGTCCTGTGACCCCTGTTTTGCTTAGTGCTGATCATAAAGTGGGAGAGTAGTGGTGCTGGCCATTGGGGCATTCAAAGAGAAGCTACGAAGCCAAATAATCTCACCTGAAAAAGGAGACCAAAACCAAAAGTAAACCCCACAAATGCAGGCAGAGGTGGTTGAGATCTACTGTAGGGGGCGTTGTCTGTCTGTGAAACTGTGGAGATGAAATTCATGGAAGCTTTCCCATGTCACTTCAGACTGCAAAAGCAACAGCTATGGCCATGGCAGATGATTTGGGCTGAGTTGTGGCAGAAAGAAAAAATGTTTATCTTTTTGGGTCCGGGTCTATGTGTGATTTCAAGAGTTCATGGCCGATATTGAGACATCCCTACCTTAGGAACAGGGCATTTTGCTGTTGGGGATGGCATAGGGCTGGAGCCCTCATGGTGGGACACCTGTTGTGTATCTGTTATCTGTGTCATCATAGGCTGCTTGCTTCTCTGACCTGGCTGTTTCTGTCTCTGCTCTAGGACTGCTTGCCATCAAAGAAGCACATGACATAGAGACCAGGCTCAATGAGGTGGAGAAGCTGCTGGAGACTGTCATCAGCATGCCGTGTAAGGTGAGCAAGATGTCTAGGTGGGGCAGGGAGGCCAGAGTGGCCGTCACCACCCAGACTTGAAGACAGCTTCCTGTAACTCACTCCGTGTTTCATTCCCACTGGGCATCCTGGCAGACAATCAAGGGAAGGAAGACTTCTGTGGGCTCTGCTAGGTTCTTTCGAGTTATGAGGAATGAAACAGGAGGGAACAGGGCCTTCTACAGAAGCAGCAGCCCTTGCTTTCCTCCCTCTCCTCAGAGGGAGGTTCTTGCTTAGGTTTAATAGGCGCCAGGAAGCCAGGGGCAGTGTCAGCATCTTTGGGAGCCATGGTGCTGGGTTCCATCTCCCTGGAACTCACATACTGAGTCTGAGCTTGATGTGGAGAACTAAGAACCCGAAGGGTCAGGCTGAACTCCTTAGCACTGTTGTCCACCCCAACCCCCACCTCCCCAGCGAATGGCTGAAGTAGAAACAACCCAGCTGATAGTCAGGGAGGGAGCTGGGTGTGATATGCCAGCTGTGTGCAAAGCATTCTACAGAGCCACCCACCCTAGCCAGAGGCCTCGCCTGTTAGCCATTCGTAAACAAAGATGCTGTAGTGATCCACTCACTGGCCATCAACCAGTCACAGGTCCAGGGCTGCCTTCTGAGCATTGTATCAGCTGGGGTTACCTCTTCTGCTGTGCACAAACACCACCCCAATACACCTATGGGACCTGCTGTGGAGAGCTTTTCAGCCTCAGTAATGACTGTGTTTATCCCCAGTATTCTAGGTCAGAGGTTGTACTCACCTTCTTTGAAAGATCGCCTCTGGATCAGGTGTTAAAAAATGATAATGTCCATAAAATTCAACCCAGCTTTCAAAGTCCTGTCAAAATATCAGGTAAGAGCTGCTGTGAAGGCATGGGAGAAATGCTCTCGGTGGCTATGGTGGTTGCAAGGTCTTTTCCAGTGTGGCATTTCGGTGGGTGGGCTCAGCCATCCCCTTGGGAAGAACAGAGGGCATTTGATGAGACGCTCAGTGCCATCCTTGGGAGGGGTTAGCAAAGAGGGAAGACTGGCAGGGACAGAGTGACAGGCAGTTGTGTCTTTACCACACAGCCGCAACACTCATGTTGTGTACATGGGTAAACTGGGTGGGTGGGTTCTAGGACCTGGGATGGGATAGATCTCCTGGACATGACTGTGAGTGTGCAGGGTGGGTGATCCATTGGGGCCATTGGTGTCTGGCAGCTTCCTGATTATCTTAAAGGAGAGTGGACAGTGAGAAAGCCTAGGGCTCCTCGGTAACTAGAACCTGCCTTCTAGAAACTTCTATATAGCTTATTGTAAGTAGTGAGGCTCACCACGGTCTCTGAAGTCTCATTGGTTGTCAGATGGGGCCCTGCTTCCCTACCCTGACACATGGGCAAGCTTCTGCTCTTAAGTCTGAGTGGGAACAGTGCAGGGTCCTAGGCCTTCATGTTGTGTAATTTCATTGTTTGGGACAAATGGGAAAGAGAATAGCAGAATCCTTAAAGGGATGGGACACTGTCTCAAGATGAGACTTGGAGGCATCACACTTGAGGGGACAGATGATGTCAAGGAGCTGCCTCTGGAGAAGCCCCATGTCCCTGTCCCCTGTCCTGCCTTAGTTTATCATGTAATGATCATATTGTGATATAATGACCACATGGTGTGTGTTTGTCCTGTGAGGCTGAAAACAATGGGGTGGAATTAAAGGGGTGAATGCAGACTCCACGTAGGGCTTTAGGTTGTTTTTATGTATTTTGCAAGGACTGGTGCAAGGTATTTTGCAAGGTCCTTACTGCTATGGGAGAATTCCCTAGCGGCCTTTGGTCATAACAGAGGTGCAGCATCCAGGCCTTCAGAGGCAGGGACCTTGTCATTCTTGGGTATCTGAGCCGCCAGCCCATATGAGATGCCTGGCTCTGAAGAAACTGTAAAACAAGCTGCTGAATCAGAAAAGACCAGGGATGGCCGGGACAGTGAGTAGGAAGACATGGGGCAGTGGCCTTGGGAATATGCCCCTTAGTCACTGGTGGGCCCCAATGGAAAGACTTGGCCAGGGGCTGGCTTGGGGCCAGCTTGGTACAGAACCCTGGCTAACAAGCAGGGAATTTGTGAATGGCCTGCCGCCAAAAGTCTTGGCACAAGGTATGGAGTGTGTGTGTGCATGTGTGATGTGGGGTTGTTGCTATGTGAGGCAGCAGCCTGGGGACAGCCTCCGTCCTCAGAAGTGTTTGGAACTCTCCCACAGGTTTCTTCCACTCCTGAGGCGCTACCCTTTGGTATTCCCAGCCCTCCTATTTTAGCTCCCAGAACAACCAGGCCTGTCTGGAACCAGAGCATCCTCACATGAGCTGGAGGGCAGGAATATTAACTGGAGTGTGCGCAGTGAGCGGTATCCTGCCAGCTCCACTTAGCAGGTGCTTCACTCTCCACTACGGGCGCAGAAACATTCAATAATCTGCAGAGATGTCCACACTTATTTCTTCCTTTTTGAAAAATTTATTATTTTTTTAATATTTATATTTATGAGTGTATGTCTATGCACCACATGCATGAGGTACTTATGGAGGCCAGAAGAAGGCATTGAATCCCTTGGAACTGGAATTATGGGTAGTTATGAGCTACCATGTGGGTGCTGGGACTCGAACCAGGTCATCTGCAAGAGCAACAGTTGCTTGTAACAGCTGATCCATCTATCTCTCCAGCGTCCCTTTCCCCTTTTCTCTTAAGGGATTCCTAAGACCCGTCTTCCCTTCCCTTCAAGAGTTTCTTCATGCACTCTGACATTTGGGGAGATGGTGGGTGCTAGGGAGTTGGCACAGAATCCCCTCACCCCCTTCCTCCCATAGGGAAGGCTGATCTAGGCTCTGAGGGTCCAGACTTTTCTTTCAATGTTGAGGCTGTAGGTGGTGAGGGCTCCACCAGATGGCAGTAGGCACTGGTTGTGCTGAACCACCCAGACTCAGGCATTCCTTTCCTGTGTTGGATGCTTATTAAGCATAAGGGAGCACAGCTCTTAAGTGTTCTGCAGTGAGGCTATAGCTATGCAGCACGAAGGAAACAGAGGACTTAGATCCACCTAGTTATGGCCAGTAGGACCGATGCGTTTCAGCCACAAAAGCGGGTTGTTCCCATTCAACGTTTCAAAGGAAATACTATTTTTTTTCTTAATTCTTTTCAATCTTATCCTTACTTTTTACTCTGTGGGGATAGACAAGTCAACCAGTTAATAAAAGGATATTGTTTGTGCTTTTGTTCTGTTGCTGGCTGGGATAAACTAAAATACAATGTCAGGGAGGACTTAGAAGGGAGGAAGGCTATACTAAGAATTCCACCATGGCTAACTAAAGATCTGCAGAAGAAACAGAATCAGAGACTTGATGACCTGAAGGGATGGTGGTATAGGTTACATGGAAACTCTGCCACAGTTACAAATTAGGAAAATCACTATTATGGCACCATGTACACAGATTGGCAGATGAAAATAAATAAATAAATAAAAACGTACATTGCTGGAGCTGAGCTAAGCAGTGGGTGAAAGTTCAGGGTTTGCATAGTATGAAGGCCTTATTCTCTAAGATATTTGTTAATGGATATTGGATAGTGGGCCTGTAGACATTGTGTGGTGTGCATATGCATGCTGGCACCCCATATTTCCAAAGAAGGGCACTCAATGGGCCCTGTGGGATTCCTTCCAATGGCATATCACTTAGTTCTAACCAGCTGGGACTCAAGCTCCAGGAATAGTTGTAAAGTAACTCATCTGAATTCTTTACAAGTCATGAGAAACAAGGAAAACCAGGAGCCATCATAGTCAGCTCAGTGCAACATGGAGTTCTGGATTATAGCTGTGGCAGAAGGAAAGGCTGTGAGTAGATCACTAGGGAAACCCCACTGAAAGGGCTCTACACTTAGTGGCATTGCCCCCTTGTCATTCCCTGAATGTGATGAGGGTCCCTAATGTAAGAAGTGTTGACAGTAAGGGGAGTTGCTGTATGGTATGTTAGAGCCCTGTCTACACCTTCATGGACTACCTGTAATACTAAAGTTAATTACAAAATAGGAACACAGGTATATATATATAAAAGTATCTTGAGGTCTGGGGTGTGCTTCGGTGGCAGAACCATTGCCTAGCATATTTGTGGCCTTAAGTTTAATCCTTGCATAGGGGTGGGGGAGGTTAGCTTGAAAATGAACTTTTTTAAGAATTAGGGATGTGACTTCAAAAATTAAAGTAGTTCGTGATTTTTTTTTTTTTTTTTCCTCCCAGAATCTTTGCTCCGGTTTTAGCTAGCACAGGTATAGTAGAGTCATGTGTGTGCCTGGCTAGGTTTGAACCTGCTGTGGTGCTCACTTCTATGTCAGTGTTTCTCAGTGAGCCAGCCCTCTACAAGCCAGTTTGGAATGGCTGTACTAAATAAAGGTTTATAGATCTAGCTGATGGCTCGGAGTGATGAGGGTGAGGGTGGCGATCCAAGAGGGACCAAGAGCTTCTTGGGATCACCTTTTGTGAAATACTGACAATTTGCACAGGGTCCCTTTGTGACCTGGGGCTGGGACTTTGAGGAACTAGAGACCAGTATACTTATTGTCCTCAGCGTCCAACTGGCCTTGGGAACTCTAGCTCCCCTTTATGTTCCCAAAGGCTCTTTGTCATAGACAGCTGAGGAGTAACTTGTTCCCAATCTATTCTGGAGGGACCAGTATAGATTCCTAAACTCCACAATTCACATTTAGCAAAACTAGGCATGCCGGTAGCTTCTGGAGTTCATACAGAAGTGACTTGCATCAGTGGCATCTGTTTGAACTCCCAGGATCCCTTCCCCACCCAGATTCCCCTTGGCAAGGGGTGGGAGAAGGAGCCCCCTTAGGCTGTCAGTTAGCTGTGCAGAGGCCCCCACTGGGGCTGCCTGCACTTCCTGAGATGGACGGATTTGGGTCAGAGTTAATAAGAACAATAAAGAAAGTGGCTCTCTGCTGCCACACCCTTTGAGTGGGGAGGCGAGGGAATCGGAACTTTGTCGGGGGGAGGGGGAGTTCGGTGATGTTCAGTCTGACAGCTCAGTAGCTCCTTTTGTTCTTGGCACAAAGAGATGATGACCTGAGTTCCCAGACCCATTCCTTATTGGTTTGTAGAGTCCCTCCCAGGGAACAGGGAGGGGAGGGAGCCAGAAGCTGAGAGCCCACTGCTGTGACTGACAAGAGACCCATGCCATATGCTGGCCCCTTCTCCAGGAAGTCAGACTTGCATTTCAGCAAAGACTTGGCAAACTGATGAATAATCTTTTGTTAGAGTGAAGAGGAAGCCTAGTTTCCTTTATTCCTTTCTGGGTAGTTCCCTAATTCTCTACATCTGGAGAGGAGTTCACAGAATGGAGCACCAAATGACTAGAAAGGTTAAAAAATAAATAGGAAGTTATAATTTCACCATGAAAAGGCACATTTATATATTTAGGAGTAAATTAGACTATAGTCAGTTATGTGGGGGGGGGGGTACTAAGATAATCCTTTAGAAACAAAGGCATCTGATGTTCCATAACCCTTAAGACAGGGAAAGGTATTCTTGTTAGCTGTGTGTGATAGGAGGAGAGGAGGGACTTAAGTCAGCTGTGTCCCTAGTGTGAGGATTCAATCTTGTGAACTAAACATACCCTTTGGGGTAGGTGTTAAGCCTGTCTTTTAGGGTGAGAGCCTGGCTTGAGAGGACTAACAGAGGTGGTCCTGAAAATGGCCTAAGAGCCAAGGACTGGAATTGAATGAGGCTCACAGAGAGGGGAAGATCCCAAGGCCAAGATGGCCCCTAGAAGACTGCTGAGCTCCTAGGAAAGGGAGAGAAACGCAGTCCTCTTCTGAAATGTCAAAGCTGCGGTAGATAACAAAGAGAGAGACAAGTCATTCTGGATTCTTACACAGTTAGCTGTCTGTATCTGTGGATCCAAAATCTGTGCACTCAACCAAGTACAGGCCAAAATACTGGGGAAAAGTGCTAGTCTACTAATCAAGTGTAGCCCTTTCTCCTTGGTCATTATAATAATGATTTACATATCATTTACATTGCATCAGGTATTATGCAAGATCTAAAGATGATTTAAAGCCTAGACGGAGAATGGATGCAGATTCCAGAAACACTGCCCCATTTTGCATTAGCTATTTGAACATCATAAGTTTTGCTGTTCAGACAAGGTGTCTGTAACTAAATGGGTGCCTGCTTGCCATGATGGAGCCCAGAACATCATGGGATACTAGAGTTAGGTAAATCCTTGGGGATTTTCAAATACAGTCTTGGAGGTGTCCCACGGAGAAGAGTCCCAAGGCCACAAGGCTGCAGTCTAAGCCTCCAGCTTAGTGACTGCCACAGACCCTTCCAACCATATCATAGCCCTTCCAATCATAACATAGCCCTTAGGACCCAACAGCCAGTATGAATACAGGAAGCCGCTTTTGTTGATTTTTCTAAAGAACCCATGTCTGTGCTTACAGGGAATATATCAATGCACATATACAGTCTTAGGAAGCAAAGCCAGTAGGCTGCTCATCTAAACTGCACTCTGATCTCATCTGATGCTTAGGACCAACCAGGATGTGGGTACTGCCAGCTGGGTCTCAGCAGGGCTGAGATCAGAAAGGGCAGGGAGACTGTGTGATGCCACATGTCACAGTGATGCACAGATCCCGAATCAAGCTTGAGCTCAGTCATCTATCTGCTTCCCTCTATCCTTCACTGTAAACCCACATGGAAGGGCACATGAGAGGTGTTTGCATAGCCAGAGGATCTTCCTTCAGGGAGATGGGTACACTGCTCCTGTGGGCACTGGTGTCAGCCCCTTAAACTGCCTGTCTGAACCCTAGAAGGATTCTTGGAGCAGCAGGAGAGAGAACGAGGGGCAATAGTTGATGGAGAAGGTGGAGATTAATGTAAACCTCAATTCTAAACATTTTATTTCACACTTTCATACACACACACACACACACACACACACACACACAGTGCTGTATCATCCTCTCACCCAATTTTCCCTCTTGTCACCCTCTCCCTTCCACACTGAACCCCTTCTCTTTACAGTCCCCCCTCCTATTTTCATGACTTTTTACATGTGACTCAATATTTAATTAGAGTTGCTGGCATAAGCACAGATGGAAGGTTATTTATTTCTTGAGTCTGACTATATCTACACCATTGAGGAATATCACTTTCCCTTCCATGGTTCCCATAGCTGGCTGCATGTGTCTCCTCAGGAAGGGGTCCCTCTCCCACCCACGGCATGTGTTGGCGGGTCCAGTCTTATTCAGGTAGCCACTGTTGCTGGGAGTTCCTGGGTACAACCGCTACATCCATACCAGAAGACAGCATCTCATAGCCCTCCTCCCCATCCTCCAGTTCTTGCATTCTTTCTGTCCCCTCTTCCACAATGTTCCCTGAGCCGTGGAGGGGTTGCTGTACATGTCCTATTTGAGGCTGAGCACTTAGCATCACTTATTCTCAGCACCATGATCAATTATGAGTTTGCATGAACAACTGCCCGCTGCAGAAAGAAATTCCTCTGGCCAAGGCTGAGATGGATCAATCTACAATAAGTCTTGCAATTCTAAACCCAAGTGCTGACCTCTCCTTATGGCTTTGGTTTTCAGAAATCATGAGGTCCAATGGATTTTGTTTGGCAAACACAGAAACAATAGTCATTGACCACAGCATACCCAACGGGAAGGACCAGCTCCTGGATGCAGACTCCACTGAGCATTTGTGAGTACACAGTGTGCCCCTGATGTCATTTCATACATGGGGTTAAAAGCTGCTGGCTTGTGCAGTGCTCTATAGGAAGGGATGGACACGGCCCCAAGGCACCTAGCAGCAGACGCTGCCAGGCTAGGGGTCCCTATTTTGAAAGCTTGCCTCATATTCATAGTGAGAGTTTGATTAAGTGATCTAAAGAGAGGCCTAGTTACCCAACCACTAGATGTGAAAGGTGTTCTGAAGAAGTTGCAAAGCTCTAGGATCTAGTTTGTGCTGGCTCTGAGGTATGAAAGCCCATCTTCTGGTCCAAGATCCAGGAACCACATGCTTCTACACCTCCTGGATGGGCTGGGACACACGTGTGGTCTCACAAGCCCATGAGTGCTTGCTTCATTAGAACCTTATTCTAGAGAGAGGCCTTGATTACTGAGGGCTGCACAGCCAATGGCCACGGTGGCCTGCTTTCTCCCACCTCTGCAATAGAACCTCTGACCAGAATGTACTGTAGAGAGCCTGCCACCTAGAGGCCCACAGAAACAGCTACACGCATGCTTGGCTCCTGCCAGTCAGCTCCTTGGTGAATTACCTGGGTAGCAGAGTCCCAGATAGGGTGACTGACAGGAGGTCTGGCTTTGTTGCTGGGTGTTCTTGAGGAGAGAAAGGGGTCCCTAGGAATGCTGTGGAGGCAGACCTAGGCCCTGTAGCAGCTGGTGGTGTGAAACTGACTCCTACCATGACAGTTTCTGGCCAGCACCTCCTCAAAGGTGAAGGACTTCTCTTCCATGAACATTCATTCAGTGTGCACCAGAGTGCCATCTCTACCAGCCGGAGGTCCCTAAGAAACTGCATGTTGTGGGTGCAGCATCCCATGGTGTCTTGACCAGGCATGCCTAGAGGTGAAGCAGGCCAAGGGATTATTCTGTCAACACAGTTTCTCACCACATTCTCATGCAAGCTTCTAAAGTCATGCCCTCTGTGAAGTTCTGCAGTATTTCTAGTAACTGCAATCCGAAACATGCATCAGTCTCTTAGGAGTAGGCTGTTGAACACTCAGAGACTGGAAGGCTGGTGGTGCTACCATGTGACCCTGGGCTGTGAGTAGGGGCTGTCATACAGTGGAATCTTCAGAGAGCACCCAAATTTGCCCCAGAAGGGTGGTGGGCACCAGTGAGTGGGCACTGAGGGGGGGTGTGCCTGATGGAGGCGAGGCAGGAGGGTCCTGAGACGTTTGACTGCTCCTCTCCTCCTGAGGACGCTGTTTGGTCTGAGGGGAGGCGATGAAGGTACAGCAGGTGGTGGGAAGTTCAGGATGGTCCTGTGTACACATTGTGTAAGCTTTCCAATTCCACGTAATTTTCACCCTTCCCAGACTGAATCAGCTGGGATCAAACCAGGCTTTGCCACCTCCCTCCATGACCATAGGGAGCCTCCTGTAGTGTCCCTCCCTGGTGTCCTTGCAAACTCCTGTTCCCTGAGGACATATACCCTACAGCTGCCCATCCCTTGCTGCTCTCCAAGCTGACACAGGGCCTGGCATAGAACAGAAGCCAGAATATCACCACAAAAATAGGAACGATGGCTGGGCGGTGGTGGCACACGCCTTTAATCCCAAGGCAGGAGGATCTCTATGAGTTCGAGGTCAGTCTGGTCTACAGACCAAGTTCCAGGACAGGATCCAAAGTAATACAGAGAAACCCTAAAAAAAAAAAAAAAAAAAATGAAAGAAAGAAAGAAAGGAAGGAAGAAAGAAAGAAAGAAAGAAAGAAAGAAAGAAAGAAAGAAGAAAAGGAACCATGAAGCCCTGGCTAACCCGCTGAAACAGATGCAGACAGTAATTGCAAAATCACCAAAGCTCAGAAGTCCTTCCTGTGCAATGCCACCCATTTTATCCAATCTGTATATTCACGGTTCTTCCCATGTGTCTGCCACGTGCCTGGGAAGGACCTCATCTCATTGATGTCCCTCATCCTTTTTCACAGAGCCTGTTTCCCTCAGTATCCTTGCCTGCAATGGCTACATGTTGCCCTCTCTTTCTTCTAGCTGGGGTCCCCAAAGGTGGCCTTCACCTCTGTCATCTCTTTCAGGTTTGAGAATGGTGTCGAGTTCACCCCAGAGCTGGAGGATGGCGACGACCCTGCAGCTTACGTCACCAACTTGTCCTATTACCACCTGGTTCCATTTGAGACAGACATTTTGGACTGAGCCTCTCCATCAGGCCTTCTCTGCCTCAGTCCTTGACCGCATGTCCTCATGCTGTCCACTGAATGGCCCCGAGGGCCAAAGCTGCTGCTCAGCCTGGCCTCCCAGGTCCTGAGGTTCACTAGGCCTGGATATCCTGAAAGCGGAGGCATGTCTTGATGTCCAAGGGCTGTCTCCAGGCTGACTCCAGCAACAGGAGGTCACATGTCCTGCAGCTCTGAGGGGCCTTGTATCTGCACTCAGCCCCACCAGCCTGCCTCTTCTCCTGGGAGGCACTGTTCCTGAGGGCCATGCTTCCTCTGGTTCTCACTGCCTACTGAGGGGAGCATTCCACTTGGTCACATGCCCTGACTCCCCACCTTTCCCTCACGTGTCAAAGGCATGAAGCATTTTAAGAGGATTTTTGATAAGTCACCAAGGTCTGGACCACAAGTTGCAAGGGATATTGAGTGACTCAGGGCTTCCCTGAGATGTGTGGTTTTACCTCTCCTCCCTGGAAATGGGACCTGGGGTCTGCTGGAAAGAGTGTTTACACAATGTCAAGTCTAGAGGGAGGTGCTGGCTTCGGGGAGGGGAAAGCATTCTCGGTGATGTGCATATGAACCTGGTGTAAAGTTTTCCTTCTTCCTCTCTGCCAGCATCTGAGCTCTTCTGCCAGGCTGTGATACTGTTACCACCACCAAGGGTGCTTGAAGTTCCTCCCCTGGTGCACTTAGTGGCATAATTACCATGATGAATCAGAAAGGAAGGGATGGGGAGGAAAGGAAGCTGACAGCTTGGACCACAGGAAGGTCTGGGTCCTGTGAGCTCATCTCCTCACTGTGTCTACTAACGACCAGCACTTGCTAATGTAAATAATAGTAAATTATTGAAAATTCTAATTCTTTTACACAGTCTGTTTTTAATCTATTTTAATTAAATAAAAATCTATTGCTCTACTTTGCTCTAGTGGGGATGCTTGTGTAAAAAGATGTGGTTCATTTTGTCCCTTGCCTAGGGACAAGAAGAAAGGTAAATGCTGCCACCCACCCCCACTCCACCTCCACTCTTCCTGACACACTAATATTAGGAAATGTGTTCTCACCCAGCGGGGTGACCTATTCAAACCAGATAATGAACAAACAGCTTGGGTTTGCTTTCATTTTGACCTAGGGGTTTCCCCTTCTCGGCTTTCCTCTTTGGCAGTCACAGGAAGTGTCTCTGGTGACCCAGCTACAATACAAAAGCTATTTCCATGAATTTTGCCTTCCAGCTGTGTTCAACTTATAATGCATCGTGCTTTTCATATATGCTCCTGAGGGACTGACTGGGGTTGCCTTTCTGTCAACTTAAGATCAATACAAAAACAGAGTTTCCCTTAGCAATTAACATGGATACCAACGGGTGTGGTGGTGCATACCTCTAATCCCAGTACTAAGTGGGGTAGAGACATGGGCATCTTTGTGGGTTCAAGGCTGGCTTGGTCTACATAGTGAGACTGTCTCAAAAACAAAAGCAAAACCAAACAAACCTCAGTGTGTTCAGTTAATTCCAATCCTTCTTTCAATGCTTGCTGCACTGGCCATCCTCACTGAGCACGTTCTACAGACATGCTTCTCAAACCTGCACTTTGCTAGTGACCTTGTTTGTCTCTTTTGCTCAAACTATCAGCTCAGACTACTGCTCTGTCACACCTGAGTTTGGTTTCGCAGCCTCTTTCAGACTTCCCCTGAGGAAGTATCATTTTATTTTCCCATAGAACTCTTTAATGTAGCCTCTAAAATAGAGGCCAAATACGTTTTTAAAGGACCATAAAGGCTGGAGATTGAAGCTCACTTGGTAGAATGCTTACCTACCATGTACAAAGCCCTGGGTTCAATCCCCAGCACCACATAAAATCAGGCATAGTAGCACATGTCTTTAATCTCCACTCTAGAGAAATAGAAGCAGGAGACCCACCCAGTTCAAGGTCATCTTTGGTTATATGTGGAATTCAAGGACACCCTGTGATATACAAGACTATCAACTCTCTTCTATCACCTCCACCCCCAAAAGAGAAAAATGAAGTACAAATGAGTAGGTGGATTTTTGTTTGTTTGTTTTTGCTTTTTGTTTTGGTTTTATTTTGTTTTGTTTTGAGACAAGTTCTGGCTGGTATGAATTCTAAATCTTCTTTCCTCAGAGTCCTAAGTGCTGGGATTGCAGATGGATATTCCTTAGAGTGTGATGGTGTGGTTCCTGACACTTAGCATCCTCATGGGGGTGGGAAGGGGGTGCATATAGAGTGACAGATCTGTGGCAGACAAAGAGCTTGTCCAACACATGGGAAGCCACCACTGCTGTTGAGTATGACTGCTATGGTCAGATGTACAAGTTTCCAATACAGAGAAAAAGTCTGACTTGTTAGGTGAAAGATCCCAGGAAACTTGACTCAGTTAAAGAATTGTGAACTTGCAGCCTCTACATGGTCAGTTCTGAGAATGGACAGAAGAACAGTTGCACACACCTGTGACCCTTCCTCCAGAGACCTGCCCTTTGCTTCGTGGGTGACTGAATCCTTCATGCTGTTCTGGCAGCCAAAAGATCATCCTGATCTAGCAGGCCCCTTTGTTTCTCTAGTTTGTGATCAGGGTGCTCTTCTGGATCCCATTCACAATGGATCAGCATCTCCTAAACAGTATACAATTAATGGCTTTTTGGCCAATAAGATCACTTAAGTCAATTAAGCTGGAAAAGAACCTTTTGGCAAATGGTATTCACAGGCCAAAGGGTGCTTTCCTTTTTATTTGCAAACAAATGCTGGTTGTCTCCTGTGAGGCTTAAAGTAAAAATACAAAACATGATCATCAACAAACTGATCACTGCACCCAGATTTCACTTACGTGTAGACCAGGCATGTTACACACACTCACCCCACCTGGTCATTCAGGCTATGAGCTCATCATAAACACACAGTTCTCACCTCATCACAGACAAGAGGCACAGCTGCAGAGAGGCCAGGATGTGATACACACCGTTTAAAGATGGCCCACTTTCTCCAGTCAGACCCACCTTTCACCATCTCCACCACGTCCCAGTATGTATTCAGTTTGGAATCTATTCATCAGCACCCATACACCCCAATCATTCCCTCAAAGCCCCTTCCCTTAATACTGCACTAGTTGTTTAAGGGTTCAGTTAATAAGAGCCCATGATCCTTTAGACATGTTTAATTTTTCCAGACTTCTATGATAAAGTTAAGTTTTTCTGTTATTTGCTTCTATTTTGTGGGTAAGGTAAACATAGAGTAATAAAAGATGACAAAGAATGATCAGATTGCCACAGGTTAGGGGTTGCTGACAGCTTTACAAATGGCAAATTTGAATGCCAGTCTCATATGGATACACACATATTAGACTATCCTTTTTGTTTGTTTGGTTTGGTTTTTTGAGGCAGGGTTTGTTTGTGTAACAGCCCTAGCTGTCCTGGAACTTGATTTGTAGACCAGGCTAGCTTTGAACTCACAGACATCTGCATGCCTCTGCTTCCCAGGTGCTGGGATTAAAGGCGTGGGCTACCACACCCAGCTCATCTTGAGGCAGATGTCCAAATGCATAAAGGATGTCACAGAAATTAGAACACTTAGAATGCATGATTGACCAGTGTGTTTACCTGTTTCCTACGAGGAGAAATAGTCAAACTGATGTAAAAGCTACAGGAATTTGAATAGAGAAAATCTATTTGAATAGATGAAAACATCATTGGTACCAATGCTTTTTGGAATTTTCCTGGAAGACAATTCTTATCCCCAAGACCCAGTAAATCAGTAATATAAGAAAGTTGGTCCATTGAGGTGGCTCAGTGTGTAGAAGCCCTTGGGCATGGGCTTCGCCACCTGAGCTGGATCCCTGGGTCCCTCAAGGTGGCAGATGAGAACCTAAGCCTGAGTGTTATCCTCTGCTCTCTACACACACTCTGTGGCACATAACTACATAAATGAACAAATTGTTTTAAAATTGACTATTCCTCATTTCCCTATGAGTGAATGAAACTTTGGTAATAGGCAATGAATTTATTGGAAGCTGTGAGGCAGATGAAGACACAATAGGGGTGGTGTCACCAATGGGAAAGTGAACTCTTAACTTCTCCCCCATCTTAGTGGCCTTGCTTAGGCAGATGTCACTGAAATGAACAGAAAAGGAGTTTCAATGGAGGACCCTCTTCCTTGTCCTGGAGCACTCTTGATCATCAGGAAGATGCTTCTCTGGGGGAGTGTGTCTATGGGACAGTAGAGGGGGACATGTTTCATGCTCTTAACCATGTCCTTGTGGGTAGAATAGCCGATGTAATTAGATTGGTCAAGTTGGTGTTTGATGGCACTGAACACTTTTGCCTTGTGAATCATTGTGGCTGACTGCCCTTCCTGAGTTATGTCTTTTTTTTTTTTTTTTTTTTTTTTTTTTTGCATATTTTTATTTATTTAGTGTGTGTGCTTGCTGTAGGAGTTGGAGGACAACTTTGAGGAATCTGTTCTCTTCTGCCACCATGTGGCGGGTCCCAGAGATCCAGCGCTCAGGTCATCAGCCTAGGCAGCAAGCATGTTCACCGGCTAAGCCATCTTTCTGGCCTCTGAGTCACTCCAGATTGGTCTTACAGTCAAGTATTGGGATGAAGTCTTCCTATCTGAAGAATATGCAACTCATTCCTAATCAATTGAGTGTTCATTTGGAATGTGCTAATCATGGATGTTGCTCTTTTCTTAGGATTTTATATTAAAATTGAAATTAATAGATATTGTTTGCACATAGTACAACATTCAAGAAAAAACATTGCCCATTGAAATGCTAGTTCCTGCTAACCCTTGCTTTCTAGCCACTCAGTTTCCTAATGTAGGAACAGCTGTCATTGCCAGTTTCCCATTGCCAGTTTCCTGGGTAACACCCGAAAAGCATATAATTTTGTTAAAAGCTAGCATACCCATTCATGCACCTGCATCTTGCACTTCATGATTTGGATGCATATTCTTAGTAGAGCTGTTTTATTCTTTTTACTGACATCTGTTTATTTGGCTGGGCTACACTTTCCCTTTCTTATATTTCCTCATAAAACTTCCTGTTCCCTTTCTCTTTTAATTAAAACCTGAAAATCAATAACCACATATTTCAGAATAGTATCCATTTATTCGCACACTGTTAATTCAAAAGCTAGGTACAAGGTGTCACCTGCAAGGACACAGGCTGTTCCAGCACAGGAGTGTAGCAATGAATAGTAACGCTCATTTCTAACAGATGGCGGATACAATAGACAAGTGAACAGGGTATGTGAAGGTAGTGGCCACAGTTTGAAATGTGGTAGCCACATAGGTTCACCTGTGAAGGTGAAGTTTGAACAAATACTGGGGGGTGGGGGGAGCAGGGACTTTGAGAGCCTTGAGGACCTTGGAATTGTTATAGACTTTAGCTTTATTTTGAGTGAGATGGGAATTGTTGTAGGGTTTTGAACATAGATAGACTGTGTGTAAGGATCATTCTTGGTTTGAGGTAGAGAAAAGATTTGAAGGGGTGAGCTGGAAGTAGAGAGACTATTGTCAGTCCATTTGGGATGCTAAAACAAAATGTGTTAAACTGGGTCATTTGTGTACACAGGAACTCATTATTCATAGTTCTGGAGACTAGAAAGGCCAAGATGAAGCCAGTAGATCGGAGTCTACTGAGAGGCCATTTCCTCACATATGTTCCCACATAGTAGAAGGAACAAATAGACTCCCCACAGCCTCTCTCATAAGAGAACTAATCCCAGTTTTGAATCCGGAGCCCCCATGACTAGTCATGCTCCAAAGGCCCCCTTGTTTATTTGCTATTATGCTACATTTGAAGTGTCACACAGTATAGAAACGTGAACTAGTATGATAGCAGAATGGTGGCCTGAGAGGGCTGAGTGGAGCTGGGGGATAGTTGAAGGAATAGGTCATGCTTATTTT